CCCACACCAGCTGCTGGTGAGAGCTTAACTCTCTAGATCTCAGCGTGGCAGAATACAACAGCCCATTGCTTTAGTCCTGCAGGCATGTAGAAGAAGCCCATAGACAGCTTCACATTGTTTGGCCCTCTCCATGCTCTGATTGTTCTTACTTGTAATTTCTTTTGGAATTTTTTCTTTTCTTTTTTTTTATACGAAATGTATTGCTTAGGATCAGCAGTTAATGTTGGGCTATAATTAAGCTGTTGGGATTTCACTTGGGCCAAGTTGCTGGTCTTGGTACAGTCATTATTAGTCATTTTAAAAAGAGTTTTAAATGTACGTGCCGTCTGCTTGTATATTAAGAGCCCTGGGGGTGGAAGTGTCTGTTGCAAGTGCCATCTCACGATGCTGCCAAGACATGGAGGGACATTCATTGACTCATACAGTATGGGTCCTTATCTCTTTCCTGTCTCCTGCTCACTGTCTTGCTCTGTTTCCTTTCCCTAGGAGTTGGAGTCTTTCCAGTCTGTGACCAAAAAGTATGATTAAAAAAATAATGAATTCAAAATTGGACGACCCATTGTTCTTTGTTGTTGAGGATGTTGGATTTCATGACACATACACTATTTTATGTGAAATGTTTTTTATTTGCTCATTTTAGTCTTACTCATTGCAGATTTTATCAGTAATGAAAGTTTATTTTCTTTATCATGTTGTAGTTTTTTAAGTGTAGTATGTTTGTTTATTCAAAAACATACAAAAAACCAAATCTCTTTTTTTGGGGGGGTTTCCGTTTCATTTTTCAGCCAAGTGTGTCTTTACTTTTGGTCTCGTATTTGTCCAGAAATTTTAATTTTGGTGTGTCACTATGTTTTATGCACACAGAGATGCATTGATACCACTTTTTCTCTTCTGATACTGATACGTTATCCTTAAGTGTCAGCTGATACAGAGTACCGATACTGATACTAGCTCTGTCTGACCTAACTAACCTGTAAATCCTGATATTTATGCAATTACATATTTTAAAATATTTTACAGAAATTCTCAAGTCATTTATCTCATATGTGCCTCCCATTCCCTCGCACTTATATTTCCGAGTTTGATAATTACGGTCATTTACGCTGTCAGTAGCAGTGACTTGAAGTGTTTCTCTGGCTTGTTTGAAGCAGTGGGCAGCGAGACCCCGCTGCTTTGTGATACAGTTGTCCAACAGAGGCGAACCACGTGCAGGCGAGTGGACACACTAGCCTGGCTAGTGGGCTGCTAAAGGCTATCATTACACCATGAGTCTTACTTACAGTCCAAGTTAATGTTAGTCCAGGTTTTTATCGAAGGAGTGAATGTTATAAAAAGACAGTATAGAAGGAACCGCCAGACTTTGCCTTTAGCATAGCAGCATGCCAGCCAGGCTAGCGTGTCCACTTGCCTACTGCTTTGTGATACAGTTGACCGATGGAGGTGTATCACAGGTGTGCGAGTAGACAGACTAGCCTGGCCAGCGGGCAGCTATGCTGAAGACTAAATCAAGACTAAAGGCTGTCATTACGCCATGAGTCTGGCGGTTCCTTCCGTATTATCTTTTTCTAGTGTTCACTCTTCAGAAAACAACCTGGACTAACATTAACTCGGACTGGAGGTGACTAAACAGCAGTAGATGGGTTTTTACTGAAAGATGCCTGGCTCAGCCATGTAAGTAAGGGGCTTCCACTAACGTGTTTTTCCTACGAAATACTGGTTTTACAGATTTTGCCATAAGCGTTTTTACTGCTGCTTATCAACCCACATCGCCAACATGTTCATGTACTTTCCTTCTACTAGCATGTGTGCACTAGTCAGCGCGTATGCGTGTCAGTAATAGCTTTGTGATACTGTTCTTAAGTATTTTTATCCCCATGGCCGACACAGACACTGTGTTTAAAGTGCCAGTATTGGTGCTGAGACAGGGGTCTTTTTTTTGCACAGTTGCCCTGTGGATGAGGTTCTGCCTCTGTGTGTCTTCACTTTTGTTGGAAGATTAGGATGAGTACTCCTGGATGTGAGACAGTGCCTTTATTCACACAGACTGAGGCCTATTTTTGTCAGTCACATGTCTGCACTCATGTTACGAGCAGAGCGGTAATGTAAGTGATCCAGCGCTTAGGCTGACGTAGTGGAGCACTGCTGATACCGTCTGAGTGACCCTCTCTGTGAAAACAGAGAGTTCAGTTAAGCTGCGCGAGGTTACGGTGCGTTTATATTGGTCGGGCACGGCAGTAAACTGTAACAGATCTGATTCGTTTTCTGTGGCGTCAGACGGAGCGTGATTGGACAGGCACGTTGAATTTGGGCAATGTGAAGCATCAGAAATATTGAGCTGAGCTGAATGTTATGCAGATCAGAAGGCAGGTGGTGTTTGCATCACTATTGTCTGTAACTCAATGTATGAAACATTTATTGCACTTATCACATGTTGCGGTTCCTGCAATCCATGACAAACAATAACAATACTAAAACCCATATATTCACACACTACTGTTGTCCCTTTAAGATTCAAAGTGGGAAGATATTTGGTTGGATGTCAATGTTTTGATTGATGTTGATTGCAATAATTAATCAAGTTCAGTTTCAACATCCCAAACTGTTACAACTGTATCAGCATAATGGAAAATATTAATTTCATGATGTACTACTCCAGAAACTCTAAACATTGCATACATTCTGACTTGGTAAGATTTCTTTTGGATTTTGCAGGCTCTCAACTGTGTTCACTGACCTTGCCATGCAGGAAGTAGGCATGTGCTGATATAAACATTTTATATCCTAATAATTACCTTACTTTTTGTCATGGTTTACAATATGATGATGATGATGATGATGATGATGATATATTTAATACAAAAAAAAACACATTTTAAGCTAAACAAAAAATGTTCTGTATGTCATTTATTTATTTTTTTTAAACAGCAGTACCAGACAGGTGATGAGGATGTGTGTTCCAAAAAAAGGTAGGGCTGTAGACGTACCTTTTAAGGTGACAGCACTGATGTTGCACAGAAATATAGCGACAGACAGAGAAATCTTTTTAAGTTTTGTTATTCAGAAATAGCCACAGGAAGTCGGTAGGTGTTCATGTCAGATGAGGATGCTTCAGGTTAGTTAATAGGGTAACTAGAGCCAGCAGCCCTGGATGCTGATGGACTTGTTGTCCTCTCCACGAGGTCTTTTCTCCTCAGCAGACAATGTGTTATATGTTATAAGTATAATATAATGCACATAATTACTTGCAAACTTGGCACATTTTACAGTCCTGTTAAAACAAAAAACAAAAGTTTCACTGTATTACTAGCCAGTATATTTTCTCCCATCTTTCTGTAATGAGACAATGAATGCTCTTTCAGTATTACTGGCACCTTGATTGGTTAACTGAGTACTTGAATACCCGTTCACATCCTTAATAGGTGGTTATATATGTGCAATAAAATATCATTAAAAATAAAAGTTGTACTCTCTTAGCGTCGACCTTATCATGGCAAGTTTGATTCCCAGCGATGCCACAGACAGAATTGTCCCCTCTCTCTCTCTCTCTCTCTCTCTCTCTCTCTCTCTCTCTCTCTCTCTCTCTCTCTCTCTCTCTCTCTCTCTCAGAATGGGTAGGATGGTTCTGGTGGTTTGTAACACAACTTTCTGCTTTGCTGCAGCTGTGCTCACTATTGTTTACATCAGCATTTCTGATCAAGGCAGCTAGGGAACGTAACACATGATCGGCATGTGACCTTGACCAGTTTATTAAAAGCAGAACTGCTCTGTCTTTTTAAAAATTCTGCAACTGTAGGGTCTGGGAAATATGACAGTATTTATCGTTATTGTGATAAATTTCATCACAGTTTGTTTTTTCTGAGCATATCGTAGATTTCTTCAGTACTCAGAAAACCTTCCTTGCATGGTTGATTACAACGAAAGCGTAGTTATTCTTGCTTAATTGAATGAAGTGCAGTGCAGCATGTGAAATATGTGAGTACATATAACTGAATTCATAGTTTCTGGTAGTATCTTTTAAATGAGACAATGCTTTGTGTATTACAAGAAGTAAAAATTGTGACATATTGTATATCATGCCATCACGATATTGTCCACCTCTACGCAACTGCACTAATATTGCAGTATACCACATTACCAAATACCAGCACGTCTAGCCAAACTAATGTAAATACACCATTAGTTGTGGACAGGGTGTTTGCTCATTGCCTGTTGTGCTCTCTACGTCAGGTGTTTCCAGTCTTATCCGAAAAAATTTGGAATGAAAACCTGCGGCCACACTGGCCCTTTGTGGGCAAGATTGGACACCCCTGCTCTAAGTGCAGGTTGTTTATCTTTAAGTGTGGTCTCACTGGCCCTATCCCACTCTTGCAGCATTGCTACCTGAAGATTTCTGCAGATATCCAAGGATTGCCATTGGCTTCAGCCTTTTTCAGCGACTTTACAGGTTGCACATTATGGCGCATCCTCTCCCAGGAGCTGTGAGTCACACGTGAGGGGACCGAAAAGAGCCGCTTCAGCAATGTTTCAGCCTCCCCCAAGAACACACAGCCAGAGGTCATCCACTATTAAGAAACGTAAAGTGATTACAAATCTCTTTCATTGTTGGGCTGCCATTTCTGTCCTGCTGGAATACACGCACGCACGCATCTGGCTCATTTGTGCACATTTACACTATCATCTTTTGGTGCACATGATACACATGGAAATGAACGGTTGTCGTGTTCGATGTGCTTTGGCCCAGCTCCTGCATTTCCAGCGATAGAGCTGAGAGTAGGCTGTCTTGGCAGTGGGCTGTTCTCTATAGGAATTGCTTAAGTCACTGCAGCCTTTTCCATAGCAGCTGATGAGTGCGTCCTCGAATGGTGTGTCTTGCAGTAACCTAGCCAAATCCATCGTCCGAACACTGCTCACTAAAATGATCTCTTTATGTGGTGATAGTGTCTGTTGGAAATTGAAACCCCTTATTTCTAATATATTGTGCCTCTTCTCTGTCTCTGTAGTGGGAGTACCGAGTACCTCTGGAGTGGATGTTTCAACATGCCTGGAATAGATTTCTCTGCTATGCCTGGATTGCGGGAATAAATTAATACCTGAGATAGCTTCACTCAAAGTAAGCTTGGCCAAAACATTCACGTTGGTATTGGATTCAGATGATGGAGTTGACGTCATCATTGATTAAGCCTATGACTTGTGTATGTGCTTTGCTGCTTGTGTTTGAGGAGATGTTCAGGGGGGATTTCACTGATGTTGCAGTGTCATTTTCAGTACTATTTGCTCATATACAGGTTAGTGATGTGCATTCTGACTAATATTTGTATATCTGTAAGAGATCATGGGCTGATATTTGGTTAAACCCAAAGAAGGAGGAAAAAACTGCAAGAATATTTCAGATGAAATTACTGTAAGGTTGTGCGCTTACCTTTTTAAGGGGACAGCACTGGTGTTATACAAAAATGTATGATCACACAGAGTATACATTTCAAACTAGGGGTACGGGAAAAAATTGATTGTTATATGCATCGCGATGCTGACGTGAACGATTCTGAATCGATTCACAAAAGTCAACAATCGATTTTCTAAATATTTAATTTATAACGTAATGTTGACGGAACACAAAGGGCGGAACTTGGAAGTGGGTAAGTGCAGCGCCCGGACAGTCTGTGGCGGCACATAACAAAAACACTACTGGATGAGCGAGAAATCCGACCGGCTCCCTCTGCATTAAAAGCCAGGTTAGATCAGGAGTCACAACCCAAATGTTAAGAAGATCCATTTTGTCCTTTCAACAAAAATCAAACAATGTTGGGAGTCCAGTATGTGTCAGTATGTGCTAGTATAGGCTAAACGATATAAACAAGAGCACAGATTTACTTTGCTGTGCTTTAAGCTTTAGCTGTAGCCGCTTTCCTCCCATCTCAGCCAGAAAACTTTGCTCAAAAGTAGATCTGTTTATTGTAAAATGTCTCTCAGCGCTTGGCTGTCTTACGAGGCTGAAGTCGCTTCTTATTCGCCAGCTTCTTGTTTTGAATTTTCCCGTTCCACCTTAAATTCTGACTGAGGCGCCGAATGTAAATGCAGCACCATTTAAGGTGGACTGGGGAAAATTCGAAAGAGAAGTGATTTCATCTTCGCAACGTTTTAGTGTTTTGACAGTCTCTCGTTGCAGATTTAACGTTCCAGGAAACCAACTGCGCTGCGTATAAATGCGAATAACGTATCGCTGCTATGTGACCTGCAGTCTGCACGCCAGTTCTCAGTCGTTGAGAACCACGGCTTACACGCTATGGTGCACACGACCTGTCTAGAAGATATTTTACTGACACAGCGATTCTGCCCTTTCTCTACAACAAGACCAAAACCGAAGTTATGAAATCACTAACGAAAATGGGCCGGACGGCTGTAACATGTGCTGCGGGAACATCCATCACCACTGGATCTTATTTCACCGTAATTGCGCATTTTATCTTAGATGAGTGGCAGCAGCATCTCACGTGCTCCAAAAGCAGTGAATGAGAGCCTTCTAGTTCACTTGCCACATCACTTCCATTTGTTTTATTAATAAAAGATATTGGAAGTAAATTCATTATGGATCATTACAAATACTTTGCTTTAAAGTACCAAGTCCTCAGACAGTGAGAAAATAGAAATGATGTATAGAGAAAAAAAAAGATGCATCGAGATGCATTGATAATCGTTTTATAATCACATCGCAGCCCTCTGAATCGTAATCGAATCGTGAGGTGCCTAGAGATTCCCACCCCTATTTCAAACCATGTTTTATTATTCAAAAACAGGTGAGGGAGGTCGGTAGGTTTAGGTCTTGGATGGGTGACATAATGGAGGCTGCCTCAGATGAGCTAATGGGCTAAAACTACAGCTAACCGGTCGTGCACTGGATGCTGATGCAAACTCATCGTCTTCTACAGGTGTTTTTTTTCCCTCTTTAGTGGACAGTGTGCCAGCATGTGCCAAATATTTTAACTATTTCTGGACCGAATGTCAGCCTGGCCTATTTAACGACAAACGCTGTGCTGTCTCAACATTCTCAGTCACCTCCTTACCCAGGATTATTGCAGATTGTGAATGTCTTAAAGTAGATATTGAAAATTTCTGCTCATAAAATGTCTGAAAGTGTCTTAATTTTTACTGTTAGAGATATTAATTTAGGGATGTCTGATCCCTGTGTATTTTAATGGGTCAGATATCTGCAGAAATATAAGTCAGATCCATTTCGAGTTCTTTATTTTTGCACTCTTGTTTACTCCACTGTCTGAGAGGTGGCATAATCAGGTATTATCTACAGCCTGCAGCAGTGAGGACCGTTTTCAGAACGTAAAAAAGTGGTTAAATGTCTACCTTACTGAACTAGTTTAAAGAGGAATCCTAAAATTCATAGTATCTGCAGCTACAGTGATTCCACTTTGTTTAAACTAACCAATTTTTATCAAAACAGGAAAAAAAAAGAATCAGGGCACGCTTAATGAAATTATTAGAAGGTATCAAAGGTATCAAAAGCAGGTATTTTGCAACAACCCTGTTAACAACGCATATGCATGTCAATGGACATTTTGGAGTAGCAAAGTATAAAATAACATATTTGCAAATACAAGCCAACTTTGTCATTTTACAGTTATCTTAAAACATAAAATCTGGGTTTGACTGAATTTTTGGTCTGTATATTTTCTCTGTCTTCCAGTAATGAAACACAACAAATACCCGAATAGTGATTTCAGTATTTGATCACTGGCACCTTGAATGGATGACAGACTACTTAAGTACCTATGCACATCCCTAATGCAAGTATACATTCATGTAGTGTTTTGAAGAAAAATGGTCATAATTAAATTTACTGTTGTCTTCACAATGTTAGTGATCAGAACCAGGATTCTGCAGTGCAAATGTAGCTGTTTTGTTCATATAAGCAACCACTAAAGGCTACATATGTCTTCTAGTTTCTAATATATATTGTTGATAATGCTGAAATGGTGGTACATCAGTAAAAACTTTACCTCTGAGTTAGTGAAATATGAAATTTAGAAAAAATGTAAACTGTGGATAACCCAACTCAGTAACCGCATTTAATTCAAGTGAGACTGGCTGTGTAAGTGGACAGGCTGCTGGTGACTCTGCCCTCAGCCTATGGGGTGAGAAATACAATAAGTTGACTAAAAGCAATAAAAGAAAAAAAAGTCCATACTGGATTAGAAGTGTCTGTGTCCAATATTCTCTGAGGTCTCGGAGGGTTTTGCAGCTGACAACTCATATGAAGCCGAGCTGGTAAAACTTTGCCAAGCTCGTGGGGGCTTGCTGGTGATATTGGAGTTGTGATGAAAGAGGCACAGCCTCATTTGGGGCCCCACTGGTGCCTGTATGGGAATTTGTGTTAGCGTTCCTTCACAGTGCCCCACTGTGCGGCTCAGGGTGCGCCGGGACAGTGAAGAATCCACTGTAAACCAGACGCAGGAAACTGGGAGGGGGGGGCTGCATGGGTTAGGAGTTATGAGAGGGACCCCTGCAGGGACATACTGGCATGCTGAATTTCAGCGCTAACTTAATAAGAGCTGAAGCGGACCAGATTTCCCAGTGTCCTTGTTCCTCTGCTGTTTTCCGTCTGGAAGAATAACAGCAGTGACAGTGACAGATGAGCAAAATCCCAGATTGGAGTTTGTGGTTCGTCTGCAAGCCAAACATATTTTGTATTTTATTTATTTATTTTTTTACTGGTTGTTTAAAGCCACGGACGGGTGGTGAGGGGGTGGAACTAGATCCTGAACATTTGAATAAACACATGCAAAAGTGGAAACAGGAAATCCTGCCACAACATAGAGAGATAAGCGGAGCAAATTTGGCCTCAGGATTCAAAACAGCTCAGAGCCGAGGAGGATTTGGTGCCTCGCTTTAAAATTTTCACAGACGGTCTTGACAGGACGGTCTTGGCAACAGATATTTTGTTGCAACAGGTATTTTGCCACCTCCGGGAAAGGGAATATGCTGTGTATCTACTGCCTCAGGAAGCATTCAGCAGTCCTCACTGCTTAGCTGTCCAACTCCCACTTTCACACACCGTAAAGCTCAGTTCAAGGAAGAAAGCTAGACAGTGTTTCTATACCAGAATATCAGTACAATAACGTCACTTTATTGTAAGAGTGGTTCCACCGTTCTCCAGAAGCCCTTTTCTTATCTGCTGTGTGTATGATTTTGTATATACTCCTAAAAATAAAAGTATCAACAAATAAAGGTATGAAACTGTCACTGGGGCAGTACCCCTCCTGTCACTGGGGTGGGACCCTCAAGGGTACATCTCAGCACCTTTAGTCGGGGAAAATAACTGTACCATAATCCATTGAAATTATGTTTTCCTAAATTATGTTGACTCCACACACCCCGTCTCGTCTCCAGGCTTTTTATTTTACTGTTCTGTTTTAAAACTTTTCACTGGAAAAAAAAAGGTACACAGTTGGACCTTAAAACCACCTTTTGAGGGAACATTTACATTGTTTGTACCTTGATGAACAAAAAATGTACCTGCACAGAACCTTTATTTCTCACAGTGAAAAATGTGGTTTTTGCCTATATGTTGGTATGAAGTGAACATTCTTGTGGTCGGAATGGCCAAGAGCCGTGCGCATGATGTCGTGATAAGCATTTTTAATAGTTGTGTAGCAATGATTCAAAATGTTCTCTTCTCTTGTGGCACAGGTGACATGCTGTCTGTATTTGGGCATTTCCTTCGTTAGGTTTGCATTGTTAAAAGTCTCCAAAATGATGAGTAGCCAGTCCGGATTCTCTCTTTCTACGTTCAGCTATCTGATCAGCCATCAGTTTCTACACATTGCATCGTTTCTAGGTACATCTGGCGGATTATAAAGTGTCCAAAATGAAAGAAGAAAACTCTCTGGGAGACTAGAATGGTTTGCAGTTGATGGAAAGTGACTCTAGATGAGAATTGCATGATTTTAACAGTACTGTGATGTTTTTACACCATAGAAGCAGATTCCTCCTCCCCTGGTTTTTGCCTGTGCAGCTGGAAGCCAGGTTAGGTGCATTGCGCTGTCTGATGTTAGTTCAGAAAGCCTGGACTCTGTAAACAACAAGGGCAGATGAGGTCTA